TAACGAACATTCCTAGTGTCATTTTACGATGTTGTAATCATAAATATAAATTTTGTACTTTTTAAAACTTACCTAAAAGATTGTTAAAACGATGACAATCATTAATCAGAGAGTAATGAAGTGTAAAACATTTCTCTCTTACAATAATAATAGTATAGTCACTAATTGAATAATAGTTCGATAGGCGTAAGACTAAATATATTACGAAGGGTTTGACATTAAAAAAAGGATTGTTGGTATTTGTTTATTGATTTTCATGCTTGAATGGTCACTTTCAAGAAGTTGGCAACTGAAATAACTTTATTTTATTTTAATGCTTCATTTAGCAATTATAAGTTAAAAGATGTTTACAAAAATCCATAAACTTACAACTGGTTAGTGTTATTTTTCCCAATTCATATCATCTTTAGACTTCAGATGAAAACAAAAAAACTTATGCCTAACTAATCGTCAAACATTTAATATGTATAGGTATATTACTGACTGACAAGTGATTTATAAACTACATCTTTATTTATTTGAACACATAGATATTGGTATAAGGGGTCACCAGATACATGTGCGCCACACAAATCTCATTTGATTTGTTTGAGGGCTGTGATACTGCTTGAGTGCCCAAACTGAACCACGTAGTTTTCTTAGGGGGCCACACTCAGAGTCTTCAATCTAAAAGTCTGATCCACAAGGCAGTGAAGCAACGTAAGGAGATGCAATCTCATGTTAGAAGATGACCAATAATTGGTTCATACGCCATTTGTTACTTCAGAATACTGGAGCCCATGTGCACTATTGGTTTGGAATGAGGGTTTTCCAACTCCCCTAGGTAGATCCTCCATATCCACCAACCCGGTTAAAGCGTCGGACATTCATTTTTCATCCTCTCAATTTCGTAAACAACATTAATGCCTGAAGAACACAGTGAGTAGAACTTCCCACTTAGTTGCTGTATACGCGTGGCCATGTGAGAACATTTCGAGAGGAAAAGTCGACTCACCTCACCCTTGGCCGTACCAGGGCATTTAAGGGCTGTAAATTACATCACATAGTTTACAGTACTCAATTACTAAGTAGTCTCAATGAACCAATCCTACGAATAACATAAAATATCATCCATTGGTTAAGAAAATACAATATATATCTTTTCTTGGATACTGAAAAAGATTACGGTAATGGTGTATGGAAAGAAGAAAGAATCAAGATTTCATGATATGTTGAAATTCTACGGAAAATGGATACTTAATTACATGAATTCATCAGGAAATTTTGGCGAGAGTATAATTTATGGACGAACTAATCAGATTTAAGGTAATAGGTTTTAGATTTTGGTGCGAAATTCGTTTATCCATTTAGTTGATGTCAGTTTGTGATGAAAACTCTAAATCGAATTCTTAATCCTAACCATCAACTACAAATCATAATCTTTATTGTTCATATAGATTTATAGCCCTCATTTAGCTTTAATAGGCAAGTGAACATTCTCAAAGTCACTTTAGAGTCCTTTAAAAGTCGTCCATAAATTATAGTCTCATTGAAATTTCTAGTAATTAAATTATGTTAAAGTTAATGAAAAGTTGAATAATATCTAGTACTGAACTACTGATTCATTATCTTTTGACGGAGGATATAGTGAAAAGGTAGTTTTGCGAATTATAGAGTACTGATGGTCTACTGAATGATCACCGGGATATTTATTCAAGTTCTGGCTCTAGAATACTATTATTATCAGAAGGGATTTTATGGAGATTTCAGTAATTTCAATAGTTGAAATCATCAGTCAATTGGAGTTAGACAACCATGGAAAACCTGGAAGCATTGGACGGCCGTTTAATCTTAGTATGGAACTCCTCGGCAGTGCGCATCCACGATCCCGCAACGCGAGATTCGAACACAGGACCTATCAGTCCCGAGCGCTAGTGCTTACTCAATAGACCACTGAGGCTGCCGGCATCCAATGGTGTTAGTGTCTAACTTCAACCAGTCCACGAAATTGCACCACCGTACACCATTGCCTTCAGTAAGCTGATATCTCACAACAGACCTGGTTGAACTCCACTGGTGACGGCTTCTCACTAGAACTCCAGGAAATGTCTCTTGAAGTTAGTCATCAGTGAGCAGATGATTGTTATCAGAAGGGGTTTTGTGGAGATTTCAGTAATTTCAATAGTTGAAATCATGAGTCAATTGATGCTAGACTGATAGGTCCTGGGTTCGAATCTCGCGAGGCGGGATCGTGGATGCACACCGCTTAAGAGTCCTACAATAGGACCAAACGGCCATTCAATGCTTTCAGGTTCTCTATGATGGTCTAGCTTCAATTGAATCATGATTTCAACTATTGAAAAGTACTATTATTATTATTATTATTATTATTATTATTATTATTATTATTATTATTATTCAAGCAGTATTTTACCATGAATTTGAAATGTTCCCGTAAAAAATCAATTCGTTTATTCACATCTTTTTCCTTATGATTTATTTGGTTTTACTATCCACATGGAAAAAAGAAACAAATAATAAACAACTATTTGGTTAAATGATTAAGAGTGGGGATAGTAACAAGGCTTAATCTATACATATTACAATTTATTTCTAGTTGTACATCAATGGGAATACAATTTATGTGATAATTTATTAACTATACAAAATATATGTGAATAACTATAGATTAAGTAACACTTAGGTTTTGTATTTCGCTTTTATCATCTACATGTTACTACTTTTTACTGGGTCAATCATTAGTTGTTGTTGTTGTTATTGTTGTTTATTTGTTATTTACCAAACATTCTTGTTATCACTATTAGTGTTGTTTATTTATATTGTGTAATTATCAAAGTGTAAATGAAAAGAGATGAAGGAAAATCTAAACAACAACAACAACATGAACGATGAGAGCGGAGAGAAAAGAGGAAAATTCAAAGAGATAATCAGTGATAAACAATACATGATTCATACTAGAATGAATGCGTTCATTATTTTTTTTTTAAATTTCCTATGCACATTATACATAACTATGTTTACTAATACATAAAAACTATAGTTGTATGCCAGTTCTACTTGTGGAGAATGAAAGGCAGTTATAACTGATATGTATAACCTTTATAGATAATGAATCTACAATTATGATGTTGAAATACTACAAATGAATCAATTTAACTCAATAATTATTATTAGTAAATTGTAAATCTATGAAGAATTCATGTAGAAAGGTTATGTTGTTAGTCAGTTTTCCTGTGTGTGTGTGTGTGTATGTGTGCATGGCTATAGCAAGAAGGTGTATTATACTAGACCTTATTACAATTTATTACTTCATGGAGGTTGTTGGTATTTATTATTAATAAAATGAAAAGAGAAGAAAAACTAAAGGAAAACTTGTTGTTTTTTTTACGTTAAAGGTACCATATATTCAATCTTAAATAATAGAAAAAAACTGAACAAAATATCAGTAGGATAATTGCCTTTAATTATAACCTTTTTAAGGAATATCGTTAAAACAAGCATTGATGATAATGTGTTACATGAATTCCATTATTGAACAATGAAACCCATGAGATTAGGCCAAGAAAAAAATGGATAAAATTAACTCAAGTAAAGATGGATAGTGGCTAGTAGTGGAATCCAGGATGAGCGTTTCTTCCAATTTGGGACTCATCAGCTGGATGTACCTTCATCTCAGAGTTGATGTTTACTCTAGGACTTAAGGTTATATCAAGGCAATCTGCAAAAGATGCACATATACCAACATGAGAATGACCAATTATAGTCATAAATAACAATGGAGAAATACAGATAAAACAAGTACCAAGTGAATTTACAATTAACTCAAGTTCCCTATACTATGGGGTTAAAACAGATCCGTTTCAAATTAGTAATGTTTTGATAAATTAATAGCTTACATAATCTAAAATTAATCAATACCTATTTTCAATATAATACAAAGAAGAGGTTTTGAAACAATCAATGTTGATCTCGATCTCGATGATATTAAACAATATTATTAATTCTTACTTTATGTAGAAGTGAATTTCCTAGATATTCCTAAAGTATTAAAACAAACATGATGGTCATTTTAAGTTTTATTGCCTTAATTTGTTGTTTCAGTTCCTAACTACATGGTCTATTGATCTGTTCCGTGTAAAACAGAAAACTGAAGTTATATTCAAGTCTTTTAATTTGAGATTTTCTGGATGCTGTGCTTCTAGAAACATCTACATTTTCTTAATAAAATATGCATTCACAATTGTCTCTAAACACTGATATATTAAAATATATCGTACCATTTCATAGCTATTTTGTGTTCAACAGTCTTCAGAACTGGAATGACATATGAAGATTATGAAGTCGACCAACAGTAAACATGGCCATTAGAATGGACCGAATAAACGGACAGATATTTCTCTTTTTTACAAAAATTCATCACTAAATAAAGACAAACATCATGTTGATCGAATCTTTAATGATGACAGGATAATGTTAATCAAGCGATTATATATAGTAACACTACCTAACAATTAATTAAGAAATAGATATTCCTCATTTACCGTTGATCTATTTATAGAATTGAACTGGATAAAATACTACCATTTATTGTGGTAAACAATAAATGTATACTATTTGATTTCCATCTATATTATTCATATTGTAGAAGAGTGGGGAATTTCGTGGTGCCTTAACATCTACTCAGCAATGTCTGTAATGGTATTCAATGTCTTAAATCAGTGTACATGATAAATTGACTGGTAAGTAAAACAAATACGTACATTCTCACAGTTTACATCATGAGAAGAACATAGTTAGACAACTGCGGGAAACTAGGAAGGACTAGAATGAAACTACCACCCAGTAATATGTGATTTTAAATGATTATCTAACTACAATCAATCCATGATTTAAAATATGAGAATTCAACAATCATTACAAACTCACTACACTAAGCACATTTTGCTTTATTAAAAACGAGAAGATTAATTCATGCATGAATGAACGTTATGATAACTCACTCTTCAGCTTCAACCGAATTGGCTTGAGCTAAATAAGATGATGGAATGTAACCAACTTGTCCAGAATGTTCAACTAACCACCATTCTGAATCACTGAAAATAAATGATATAAAACAAACGAATAGATGAGAATAAAATACTTTTTAGAAATTTTACTATACTACTCAACCTAACCAGTATAGTACTGTTAGAAGTGTTTATTTCAAGGAATATATTTCATACAGTGATAACCTAATAATTCAACAAGGAAAAAATAAACACGAATTGAGATGACATTTTGAAAGAAACCAAAAACAAAACAATTGTATAATAAATAATGGTTGCAAATGATGCATAGAATTGACAGTTTTCTAACTGACAATCAACTGGTCGTCCTATTCAAATTGTGTGCTCTGTTAAAGTCATCCAATAGATGTTCACTAATCAAATAAACAATGCCAGGATATTTGGGATGCGTTTCTCTCACTCTAAATGCAAGTTGTTGCTCCAGGACTGGCTTACGTCAACATCTCAACTAAGGATAAGGAGTGAAATAGTCGAACGCGTTGGCAACTCCATTTATCTTAGAAGTCTGATCAGCCCTAATGGGTCAACGTCTGACGAAATCTCAGCACGGATCCAAAAAGCTCGTTTGGCTTTTGCCAACTTACGTCACATATGGCGAAAGCAAGATGTCCATCTGTCCATTAACGGACGAGTATACTGCCCAGCAGTTCGTTCTGTTTTACTTTACGGCTGCGAAACGTGGCCATTAAGAGTAGAAGATACTCGTAATTTACTAGTATTCCACCACAGATGTCTTAGAAATATTGCTCGCATCTTCTGGTATCACCGGGCAAGTAATAATGAATTGTACACAGGGTATTAAGGAATGATTGTAAATCAGTTGATGAGGTTATGAATCTTCATCGAGTGAGGTGGTTGAGTCACGAGTTACGTATGCCTGAACACCGATTACCACAACGTGCAATGCTGACTAGTGTTGGAGATGGCTAGAAGAAAGTTAGTGTTGGCCAAACCAAAACCTAGCATCAGTCAACAAAGTCACTAACTTCTAGTCTGAGCTATGTTGGTAGATGCATACTACTTGGTTGGGGTCCGCATGACTATTGTAACCAGTGGTTGGAGACTCTGGGTGACATGGCTCAGAATCGATCACAATGATGTAGATGTATATAGTCTGTCTTCTCTTAAACTATGAGATTAAAACCACTTCATATCTTTCTTTCTACGAACTAGTTCTTTCTTCCTGTACTATACCCCTATACACAATCTTTCTTTAATATATTACCACCATTAAGTTAACTACTTCTATGAATTCGGTGTTCATCTTGTTGTGCTAATGAGGTGTGTTAACTTAGACCGATGTATATATGTGCCTGGTTCTACCTTGTAGCTGACTGAATCAAATGAACTGAATTAATTATTACTTTTTTAGTTCAGAAATCATTCAGCCGATGCCTTGATCATTTTAGCTTTATCGCTATTTTCATCTTCAAACTGAAAATATTCAAGGGTATTGTGATTATTACTGATATTGTTGGTACAATCAAACAGTCGATTATCTAATGTTGCATTATTTAATAAGTCTGTTCTTAGATAACTTTCATTAGCGAACTTGAAGTAGTACCACTCCATGATGAATTCAATCAAAAAACATCAATAAATGAAGGAAATTTATTGATGAGATTATGTATAAATAATCGAATCGGTAAAACTGGTGTAAGAATTCAGTCATTGCTACTTTAAAGGCAGTGACCTCATTTCAATACCGATACAGTAGTAAGTTTGAAAATCAAAAGAGCTTACAGACATACGATGACGTGGAGTTCAATCACATACAGTGTGAGATAGTTGGTTGCGTAATACCATAACTCGACTGAAGTTAGACAAGTACACCATTGATTCCGTGTTAGCTTTTCAGATGAAAAGCGTTTGCGCACGAGAACCGAAGTCTAAAGATCCATTCCTGGATGAGAGGTCGCGGGCGCGCACTTCAGGGTCGTCCCATACTAGGACTAAACAGTTGTCCAGTATCTCTTGTTTTTCCGTGATGGTCTAGCTGAGATCGGTACGTAATTAAAACTATGAAAATATGGTGATCTGTTCGGAAACATTTAAACAGAAATGATGAAATACTCTAAATTGATAGTTAAGTGCTTAAGCTGCTCAACATCCAGTCCTAGACTCGAACCTCATCCCACTTATTTCGGTCTAGGTAAATAGATAGTATGGTTAACATTTAAGCTAAAAGTGTGGCTCGTACCCAAGCACCTGGTAAAAGAGTTATGGAAAAAATCCTTCTTTAGGAAACAATCAACGAATAGTGCACTAGATTTATTTTACAGGTTGAACTTGAAAAGTTGTTGACGTATGAAATCCATAGTACTCATTATTCTATACATTGAAACCTTAGACTAAGAAAATTGAAGAAAGGTTTAACGTATGTTTAGCGTCTTTCAATGAAATCATACAAATTGTTGTCTTTAAATAAACGTCCTTAAAACAATAACATTAGAGAGAATAGCTGATTTATTATAATGACCGTAAGGACCATCACTAGACTGAATGGTCTCGTGACTGTCATTACCAATGCACATTGAATCAATCCATCAACACATTTTTAATTTTATTCAGATGAACAAATACACTGAGATCTAACGAGTATAACACATAATCAAAAGTTAATAACAAAAGGCGGGGTTTATTGATGAGACTAAAGCCTATGTTACATATGCACAAATACAGCCTACTTTGATGTACAACATTCATTGAAGTAGAAGTAGATTTGAAGAATGTTAGTAACATCCGATTCAAGATGTGGCAACAGACTAGTAAGTCCTTGAGTGGATTGTGTTAGTAGATCCAGACGACCTGATTGGTGTGTCTATGAGATAACCGTGAATAGCTATTACAGACAATGAGTGATAAGGATCAGAATCACTCTTCATGTTTATCTCCATACGCTTGATTCATCGAATTTATCTATTCTTTTCGAATAAGACTAATAATATCTGATCTTTATCACCATCGTTGCAACTACTATCATTGCTATTCCTTTGTTACTCTTCTTTTCCATTTTATCTCGTTATGATAATGTGGTACAGTAACTTGGGTTGGTAGACATTTATGCCAGCCTCTACCCTAATTAAAAAATGACTGACTTAGAATAAAATTTAAACGACAATCAGTTTAACAATTAATTTTACATAATAAGATATGCCAGACTTAAATCTGCTTGACCTGATTCTAGTTTAAGATTGTACATTAGAATCGAAAATTTATTTCAAAGAGTTTTGATTCCTACAGAACTGTTATCAAGTTAAAGCACTAATACTGATAGGGTTTCGATTCATTCACTATTAAATCATGATTTCCAAAAACCGTTTGAATTTTATCTCACTCACAAACAAATTCCTCAACCTATGTAAGATCTTAGAGCAAGAATCCAAAAACAGTTCTAGAACCTCTCTAAATGAAATATTTAGGATAAATATATATCTAAAAGGGAAATTTTTGAAAACAGGGATGCATAAGTATAGTAGAATAGCAACAATGAAGTACTTTAACAAGAAGCGAATTTTCATACTTGATTGTGTGTCTCATCTCCCAAATAATGGTTCTCGATTCTTCGTAATACAAATGCTCAAATAGATTGATAGGATTAGTGAAATGATTGCAATAAGCAAAGTGACAACTTGCTCCCCAAACTATTTAACAAATATCAACGGAATAGATTAGATAAGATTAAACTACTAGCCGTTCGGTCAAATATATTCAATCAGTCAGTTACAACGCAAGACCAGGCACATACATGCATCGGTTCAAGTTGCCATCGCAAATCATACATGAAATAGTCAAGTCAGATATTATAATTTATCAAATAACAAATAACTTTTTAAATATAAAAGTCAAGGTCATAAAACAACTGGTGATTTGGCAAACAACCATGTTACAACACTACAATGTTTCAAGTTAAAACAATTGATAAGAACAGTAATTATGAACCAGCTTTTATTAATATGACGGCTGATTTATCTAGATTTTCAATTTGTTTTATTTAACTGACGAAAAGCCGATCATTTTGTATCATGTAAATCCTTTATTATCATTAACAGTGTTACTAATTTTACGACTTTGGCATCCACCCTGAAAATTTCATTCAGCTATGTTAATGAGGTCTAACAATTTGAATCAATCTATATATGTACCAGGTTTTATATTTGCGTCCAACTAACGGACTAATCAAATGTGTTATTTTTGTGATACACTTAGTATTTCAGTCAAGATAGCTGTGATTGATACTAACTTCATTGAAATGTGATTTCAGTCAGTCAGCAAAAACGTAAAACTTCGTACGCACACATATCAGCACAAGTTGCCATACCACATTAGCACACAGATACAATTGTCGATTCAAAACCCATAGTGGTAGAGGTAGTAAAAGTATAAACAGTAATGGGAAAGATTATGGTTTGTGGATGTTATTCAAGGAGTATAATCTAGTGAAATAAATTTGGAAAGAGAAAAAAGAAAGGGATAAGAAGAATTCAGAAGATTAGAGTTTGGGAGAACATAAAGAGTGGATGCACCTGTGTCATTGCAAACGATTTTGAGCCATGTCATTCAAGGTCTCTAACAATCAGTTGCTATCGTCTCGCGGTCCCAAACCAGGTAGTCTACACCTACCAACATGACTAGTCTACTTATCAGTGACTTCATGTATTTGTGCCGTGTTTTGTTCTGGTCGCCCCTACCTTTCTTCCAACTTACTCCCACACCATAAAACATCGCTCTTCGTGGTAATCAATAGTGAATTAATGTTAATGTTAAAGATTTTCTTAATTCTTTGATAATTTTGATAAGGAAGATAAAAAAAGTAGTGTGAACATTTAATTGTTTAGTAATTGTTTTTATTACATGGTAATTGATCCTAAATACCTTTGAATAAAATCATTGTCAAGGATAGATTTATCAAAATCTAAATATGATAAAATAATTCAGAATTTTCGCCGAAATCAATCTATAAGTATGTTAGCTTTTAATATTGATTTTACTATCATGTAAACATTGAAGAGTAGTCATAAAATAAG